GAGGTCTCACGTACCAGGAGCAGCCCTGGCACTCGGAGTGCTTCATCTGCTCCAACTGCAAGAAGCAGCTGGGCGGGAAGCGCTTCACAGCCGTAGAGGATCAGTTCTACTGTGTTGACTGCTACAAGGAGTGCGTTGCCAAGAAGTGCGCTGGCTGCAAGAATCCCATTACAGGTATGTTGGGATAAATGCAGCTTGTGGGCACGTAGTGGTCAAGGTCAGCAGTGAGACGGGGGAAGTCATGTACCTAGGAAGCCACTAACACAGAAACAGGTCCAGGATCTCCAGCCTTGTTCCTGCTATTCACACGGGAGCTGATTATAAGCCACGGGCTCCTAACCGAGCTCTTCACATGTTGCACTCCTCCAATTTATCTCCCCTAACTGCCCCACCTGGAACATTTCCCACCTAAATCTTACTGGGAAATCAGAAGACTAAAAGGACCAGTGCTTTATTTAGTGCCCTGGAATAATAATGTTTGCTTTGCTTCTAACATGTTTTGCATGTCATGGTTATTAGATATGAAAACCCCACAAAGCTAATCCCTGACAGACAGGCACCATCCTGCCAATTCCACGAGTTTTCCCTTCTCTTCTGCACGTATGTGATCCTGTAACACAACGCTGGGATGTCTGCCCAGCCTGCCCTTGCTCTATTACTCTCTCCCTCAATTGGACTGTTCCCCAGAGAACAGATACTAGAGAAAACCTTAGTGCAGACAAGCTCACACAAAGCTGCCTGTTTCTCTAAGAGCAGCTACTGAGCAGAAAACCTCTTCAGTTCAGTATAGAGGGGCAGGAGGCAGGTTGTGGACTAACCCGGCCAGGGACACCTACTATCGCCGTCCTATAATTGTGTTCTCTCCTAGCAGGATTTGGAAGAGGAACCAGTGTGGTTAACTACGAGGATGAATCCTGGCATGATTATTGTTTCAAATGCACAAAGTGTGCCCGTGGTCTGGCCAACAAGCGCTTTGTTTGCCATAACGGAAAAATTTACTGTGCCGACTGTCCCAAACGACTGTAAGGAGCAAACAGCAACTGCTGTAAAATGGATTTCAGCCCTGCTTTCCAAAGTAGTCTTGGTAAAGAAGCAGGTTTTGCATGCTAAAAAATCTTAACTTTTTTATTATTTTAGCATGAAAAGAACTAAAGTAACCTAAACATACTGGGTTTGCTTTTGAAGCTCCTGCAGTAAGAATACACATGCTGTTGCAAAAAGCTAACTTTGCTTTGAAGTAACCATTAGTGTAAAGGCTTAAACTGCCACTTCAGTTTTAGGTTTAGCCTTAAAGATCCCAATATTATACTATGCATGTGTAGCCTAAACTAAAACAGCTGTTTTTAAACTTATCTGGTATATTTAAGCTTGACACTTAAATGAATTGGGTTTGACAAGGCATGCACAAGTCAGTACCTTGCATCTGGATGAGAAGACTATTATTATGCATTTACAGTACCAGTACATCACATACATCACACAAGTAACAGCAGGTCAATAGCAAATACCTGACATTATCTTACCCATTGAGTTGCAGCAAGCATATGGAATGGGCTTTGTCTTACATATAATAACATTTTCATCTTACATATAATATTTTTGACAGTATGATTTAGCTTTAGTTAGCTCCCGTTTTAATCTGGGTTTTTGCATGGTGTGTCCAAAAGTTTTGCTCACCAGCTTTTTTTACATCACTGTTTAAATTAGGTTTTCTATAAGCAATTACTAATCCATTAGTAAGAAGTAAGTCTTTCAACTATACCAAAATGCACTCACATTTAGAAGTGCCTTAAAATAGCTCAGGCAATCATAGCTCTCCTATGATATCAGTATATGTTTTATGATTTAATAAAAGTAAGACTAGTGCTTGTTTGGAGTCCTACAGTCTGGAAAACTGTTTTTTTTTTTTTTTTCATTTCACCAACTTACATGACCGACAGCTCTTAGGGCTGAGCTAGGGAGACCAATTCCGATCCCATCCTCCCCCGGGCAGGGTAAGGGGCCCTGCCACAGTGCCCTGAAACAGCTGAGGAGCAGCCCAGCAATTTCCATGGATCATTTCCCTTTCCTGTAACTGACTCGGGACCATCTGCTGGGAACGGGCTGTGTGAACGAGCCCTCTGCAGAAGACAGGTACAACCCCTGTCTGCACCCACCTCCACTGCCCTTCACCGCCCTAGCTCTGCTTTAAGGATTTTCTTCACAGCATCAGCTGCTACCAAACAGGAATATTGGCAAACTGGATGGTTTGCGGTTGTTCCTGTTCAGTAACAAGCACCTGGTAGAAACAAATACCTCTCCCAAGTAAAACAAGAGGCAGCATCTTGCTGTGTTCCTGAGAGCCACCACTCTAGTCCTGAGCATGTTGAACCGTACAGCGTGCTGGCTGTACATGTAAAAGGGAAAGACTTAAACTCACTTTTCACTTTAAGAATATTACAGTAACAAGAATTTCATAGGCAGGACAAACACAGTGTGTTAATACAACTACCTTTCTGGCCACACAATTGCAAAAGAGGCTCCTTGTTTTGGGAATCTGCGGTGTGCGGAGCGGTGGGAGCAGCACTGGAGGCACCTCAGGGCACGTCAGCCCCGCAAGGACCTGGAGGCTCCTGGTAGGTGACGTTTAGTACTACAGAAATAAAACATTGTTCAACTGCAAAGTTTATTAACAGCGCGCACATATTTACACAGAGCTGTAACAGACCTGTCAACAAATAGTATCTGCACAGGAAAAAAGAAAATATCAGCATCTGGTTTGTTAGAATGATTGTCTCTGCCCGAACGAAGCAGCTATCATATAAAAATACAGTTGTTTTACCTAAGGCACTAAGTCTAAAACAGTTCTACTGCATTGCGAGGAGCAAACGCCGAGGGTGAGGCGGCCGGGGGGCTCCTCCTGCACCCGTGGCGGTGAGGAGAGAACACAGCTAAACAGCAAAAACGTCTGCACCTGAACCCTGGAAACGCAGCCGCCGTTGGGACGGTTCACTTGCCTTGAAGGATCAGCCAATGGCTTTAGAAGGATTTGAGACAGCGATTCTTTAATCATTTATTCAATCTCTCTGTTACGGAAGCCATAAGAAGGAGGCTGCATTATTACTTTTAACAGCAGCCACTTCTCAGAGGACGTACAGTTAACCTCCTCGTGCTGTAAAAAGCAGGCAAGTCGAGGTTAAACAGACTCAAGGCAGACTTCAGAGGAAGGGAAATGCATATGCAGTTTGCAGCCACTGTTATGAAGCTAGCACAGGAACACTTAGAATAATTAACATGAACAAAACATGACTTCAATGTTCTAATACTGTTATGTACACAATAAAATAATACTTACATGAGTATAGATAAACTTAAATATGTAACTCAAAAGGAAAACATTTGTAAGAGTGTGACAACTTTTAAACTGCACTATGACAAACATGTCTAGGCATCAACATTTTTGTAACATATTAGTGCATATGCTGTAAAATGTTTTTATGTTTTCCAATAGATTAAAACATATTAGTGACGGTACAGTACTGCTTTTTGAAACTGCTAACATTTTCTTGTTAGGAAGTAAGAAATTTTTCTACGCAATTCAAAACTGAAGATAATTTTGCCTTTTAAAATATTTTTTGAACCAACACACCTACGGTGTTTTTCAGAAGACCGTTACTAATGGAGTTCAGTTTGAACATGCACTGAATGAGTCTTTTATTTCATTAAGTGCCTCTTTTGGAATATGCAAAATCTGGCCAGTAGCTACCTGGGAAGCCTCCAGGACACTCTGCTGTACAGTAGAGCGATGCGAAAATAAAAGGACTCAAACAGAAAGTCTGGAAAAGGGAATCAAGTTATACTTAAACAAGAAACTCTTATTCAACATTTAACTAAACAAATAGAAAAGGAGCAACAGGAAAAAGTCTCCCTGAAATGTTTTCAAGGTGCAAATCTAGGAGTTTTGTTATCCCTCCCCTGGTGGTTTTTTTTGCAAGCTTGAAGATGGGTAAAGGTAAACAAGCAGCTTTTCAAAACAAGGCCTTCGGTACTTGATAAAACACTGGATTACTGAAGTGCAATCAGAATATTTCCAGGTCTCTAGTGTTCACAGTTCTGTCCAAAGAGCAAAGAAAAGAAAGCATTTAACCATCATAACTGTTTGTATTCCACCTAAGTCTATCACTGATGTCAATCTACCTCCAGGTAGCAAGCACAGAACTACTTGTTACTTAAAAAAACCAGCACAGTAGCATTTTTCTAACATATGAGTATTAGTTCCTGAAGCTGTGTACATAGTTCTTATATAGTACGATCTCAAAACATATTCAAGTGCAAAACTACAATGCAACATGCCTTCCCGCGAGCAAGTCACTGATTTTGGTTAGAGTGACCCGCGGCACCAGGTCCGTGGCTCTCCCCACAGCCCGGCCTCGAGAAGGGCCCAGGGAGGCCGTGCCCATAGGACAGACCATGACGAGCAGGACGCGCAGCGACAGAGGAGACGCAGGAAACAGTTCAGTCTAGAAAAGTGCTACACTTTAATCAGAAAAGGTGCTACAGATGGTTTGAGGGAAACCTGGAGAGCAAGTCCTGTTGTTTCACTATCATTCAACTGTTCACGCAGTCATTTATCTCCTGGACAGAGATCTCCTGCTGTGAGCACGTCCGTTCAGGGTTAGCTCCAACGCGAGGGATGGTTGAGTCTTATGGACACTGGACAGGGGAGCCCCCCTGGACACGGCCCTGTCCTGCACCAGCCTCTGGGTGTGACCTGGAGGCGGCCGCAGAGGCGGCCCCGCGGCCTGCGGGACATTCGGCTCCACCGCTGCGCCCAAAACGTTCCCAAAACGCAACCAAACCGGCTCTGGGTAACCTGAGGAGGGGGTTACACCCGGCAGCCCAGGGAAAGGCCATTCCACAGCAGGGGGAAGGACAGCTACCACCCTGCAGAGCCCTCCTAAGCTCAGCATCAAGAGTTAGACAACAAGCCTAGGAGCAGAGGGGAGAGCAGCCAGGTCTGCAAGAGCTACATCAGACACCTGCTAAACTGCTAGCATCTTCAAAAGTCACATGTGTCATTTAAGACTTTTCAGAAGAAGCCTAAAATATGAGAGAGGGGCTTGAGTGCTGGTGAGAGCTACAGGAGCTTCATGGGCATTTAGTTGTGTCTTTGGAAAAGCCTTAATGTTGGGCTTTAGCCACAGTATAAAGCAGGTCCCTAAGAAGGCATCGGGTGGTGACTCATAGTGACAGAATGCAAGTTACAAGCACTAAAGGCAGAGCTTTCTTTCCAGCCTACACACTGCGGAAAAGTGCCTTGAAAATAAGAAGCTGAAGTTAAGGCAAGGAGAGTAAATTGCAAGAAAGTGAATTACCTAGGCAGAGGAGGAGATAGAGGAGGAAATCAGCTCGGATTACCTGATGAAGCATCTATAGGTTTGGTCAATGGGTTCACTGCACCATCTTCCTCAAATACCAGTTTAGGACTAGAAGGAATTGTAGCAGCATCATTCAAGTTTTGATTACAGTTATCAGCAGGGATGCTGTCCGAACTCAGCCTGGTTGACTTGGAATGCATTCCAACGTCAATAAACTCCTCAAAAGTCCATGAACTGGATTTTCCATTAAGATTCTGAATAAGTCCAACCGTATGAACAGCTTCATTAACACCCGACATTACTGAGTCATCAACAATCATTTCTTTTGCAGGATGGCTAGAAAGAGAATGGATAATTTTATTAAAATACCAGGATATTTAATCTTTAGACTCTTTAGAGCAGTTACATGAGATTTCCTCCCCAGGAGCCAGAGGGGAAGAACGACTCAACAACGCACACTTTTTACTACATTAATAGCTCTCAAGCAAGAGCTCACTCCAGAAATTTGACACAAAAAAGCAACAAGTTTAAAGGCTATTAAATTCCTATTTTAATAGTGAACAACTGTTTTTCTGGTTAGACTTTTTTGAACCAAAATTGAGTCTCAGAATACAAGCTATACTTAAACATTCGCAATCCATATCCAAATCAATGGTCGGTTTTCATTCATTCTTAAGAAAATAATGGAAATGTCTTTGTATTCCATCACTAGAGGAATGACATTAATTTATCATCATTTTAAAAGAGAGTCCACACTGCCTCTTCTAAATCATTGGCATTTAGACGAGCAAACGGAATAAGCATGAGAAGACAATTTCTTCCAGTATTAGATGGAAAGGCTTTATGTCTAAAGAGATAAAATTTGAAATATTTTTTAAAAAAAGCCCATTAAGGGAAGCTTTTGTGTTGTATCTGGTGTTTCAGCACAACTGAAACTGTTCAAGAGCTTTCTGTAGATTATTCTTACTTTTCAGTTCTGTCCACCTCCCCTTTGTTTAACGTTCTCTTAGGAAATGAACTGCCAGGAGTTTCCAGGGAAAAGATTTCAAGTCACTGCCTGTTCTTTTTACAAGCAGTAACACTGGTGTGTTGCTGGATCTGCCTCATTTTTTAGCAAAGCCGCTATTATTAACAAGGTGCCATCTAAAGTTGGCACTAAGTATCCTGAACTAACTGCCTCTACATGAAGCAGTAAATTGACAGCATGCCTGGAGCAAGCCAGAGAAATACCCCTAGCTAGTAGGGTGCAAAACTTAATGCAATGCACAGTACTAAATTTTAGAGAAGCACAGAGAGGGATTTCTTGCATGACAGATAATTGCTCCGAGAGCAAAACAACCATGTACACAGACTCACCTGGAATCCTTTAATTCAGTAACAAGCAGAGATCCCTCATCACTTTTCAAGTCACTTCCATTCATAAATACTTCACTGGGCTTCAATTCGAATCCATCTGGGACCTCAGATTCTGTAGAGGTCAAGCTGTATGCAATCTCTGAACAACTTTCTGACTCCTGCTTGACTTCCTGGGGCAAGCCAACACCATTTAGCTTTCCTGAAGGAAAAAGGAGGGATGATTTATACCACATTTGAACAGAGAGCCTCAGGGGAACTTCTGGACCTGTGTGCTCAGACTATTACAATACTCAGAGACACTTTCAACAATGATTAAACATCATTGAAACACCGACTACCACTTAGATCTGACTCAGCAAGGTTCCTTACCTGGTTCATCACTCTTCTCGAGACCCAGCTCTTCCTCCTCTTCAATATCCTCTCCCTCGATGACTTCGGAGGCAGACTTCTCTTCATTCTGCAACTGAATTCCCCAAGTGTTATTCACAAAGTTCACTGCAGTTTAGCAGTTCAGAAATGGCTCAACTGCAGCTCCTGCAAAGGCTGTTTCATGACCAGCAGGAAGGCCACACTAGGCTACGGGCCACAACACTAGCTGGGACAGAACATCAACTAACAGGGCTGGCAAAGTCAATATTCAGTTCTCGGGTTGCCCCACAGCAAGTCCAGCTAAACCAGACCCGACATAACAGCTACTCCACAGTTCTTTCTTTTTGTATCTCTCCAAGGTTGTTCTACATATTTACTGACTTTAAGCTATATGAAGACTTGGGTCTGCATTTTGAACAGACCTACAAGCCCAAGGAACATCTAGGATTTGCTTTAAGAAAATATATGACGCCAGGAATCTTTTAAGTTCTCAGAGGAAACAAATAACCAAAAGGAGAAGCAGAAAGGATACCACTTAAAAAAAAAAAAAAAAAAAAAGGTTGTGGTGGGAAGATTCATGGCTAATGGAAAGCTACTGAAAATTACTGTACCAGACCCTTGCACTTCACATGGAAGTCATTTCATTTCATGGCAGAATGACAGAGGACAGCAAGACACACGGTATGGCCTTCTCTGGAAGGAAAGTGCATCACAGCTGCGGACCTCTACGAGCCCACTCTGTGTCACTAAATATAGCCAAACAAGCAAGTACCTTTGATTCATTTTGATCCGATTTTCGTGTTCTTTTCATTATTTCTTCAATTCGCTGTTAAAATGGAAAAAAATATTTGTGATATAGAGCTTTGTATTTCAGCTTTCTGATTTAAATTTTCACCAAGTATCAAAAATATTTCATAAATTTACTATTTTAGCAATTTTAAGCTCATAGACCAGAATTGGCTTCCTTTTTCCTCCCCCAAAACATGTTGTTTCTACTCAGATACATCTGAGACAGCTTACCCATTCAGTTTATTTAGACCAGCTTGCTTTAATACTAACATCCCAACCATTATTTTAGGTCAAGAATATTTTTTTGCTTGCAATTCAGCACACCTTTTTTCTTTCAAGCCTTTCCTGCATGTTTTGCTGCATAATTCTCTCTCTTTCCAGCCGCTGTCTCTCAGCCTCTTCCTGGGCTTTTGCTTCGGCTTCTTCTCTCTGAAATAACACAGAGAACTGCATCAAGTACACAACTCATTCTCAGGAATCAAAAGCAGAGCTGTTGCAAAGATCCTTGCTCAACACAGACAGGACTCTCAGACAATCTCTCCTTTAGTTTTACCAAACACTGCAGGTAAATGGCAGCTATCCTGTTACTGACATTAATTACCTATTACTAAAAGAAAATGTTTTGAAAAGAAACAGTGGAACTACTAAGCTTATGCAAATACTCTGGTTGTTTTTGAGCTATTCATGGTTCAAAGATCAAGATGAAGATTTGCTGAAGAAGGATATTTTATGAAGCAACAGGACAGCAATTATATGCTAAATGTGGCAAGGTTCATTTAAAAAGTCTTGGCAGTCAGATATTACTATCAACATACTTGGCAGTGAATATCTTACTCTTCTTTTCCAGGATGACTGGAAAGAAGAGAAGGAGATAGGGAATACTAAGTAATTTTTATAAGCATAAGCGAGCTTGTAAACAGAATTTCAGACACACACATGTGGATGCAATCCACAAGATACAGCTCTTTAAGTGGAAGTAATTTCACTGTAAAACTCCTTTGATTTTCAAAATTAATCTAACTCAAAAAAATCCACTTTAGAAAGCATAACTTCCTTCACTTTGCAGGGAATGGCTTTGCAAAGGTAAACAGATCTTAGTTGTGGAAGACTTTACATAGCAACTGGAACAGCAGACGTGGAAACACTACAGATCTTTAATTTAACAAAATCAGAGCAAGCTAGATTGCCTTTTCCAGAAAGACCCCTCTCTTATAATTCAAAGCAGTAAGCTGGGAAAGCGAGAGCAGTGCAAAAGTGTTACAGGTCTCTGTGTCTCTTGTACGTAAAATAGGGTCACAGATGGATTTAAAAAAATCTGCTTCTGTCCAGTCCTGTATTTATCAAATATTGGGAAAAAAAATCACACAAAATAAGGCAAAGAAAGGGACTTCAAGACATTCTGTAATCAATCTCCCATCACTCACAGGATGAACTCTGCTCATATTGCTCCTGACAGAGGTTTGACAAAACTGTTCTATAGAACAAAAAGAAGATGAGCCCCTTGGAACCACGTCAGCAGCGTGCACAAGAAACACAGGGATGTCTACGATAGCAGACCTGCTGCTGAAGCTCTGCAAGCTTTTCCTGCTCCTCCTGCTCCCGGCGAACCCTCTCCTCCTCAGCCTGTCTCTGCTGCTCTTCATGAGCCAGTCTTCTTTCCTCCTCCAGTCTGCGAAGCTCCTCTTCCCGTCGTGCTTTTTCTTCAATTGCTCTCTTGGCCATTTCTTCTTCTCTGATTCTAGCGTTTCCAAAATACAGATTACTGACTGTTACTTACTTTCAAGTGTACATGCACATGTAACAGACGAGGAAGCAAGAAAGTCAAAGTTTAAAAGCATCAACATACGTTCTGGTGTGTATTTACAAATCTCACTATCTAGATCAGTCAAAGGGAGAAAAACAAGCAACTTGGAAGAAACTATCTCCAAGTGTTTAAATGCTCTTTGCTGATTAAGTCAAGTCCAATGCCAGCTGTTCCAATAATGGAACATTTGACAGAGAACTGGATTATGAGACAACTATTTAAGAAATACTATCAGCATTCCTGAGATGAACAAACTTTTTAATCACTGTCAAACACAAAATTAGTCAGATTTTCTAAAAGACAGATTTTCTGTTTTTTTTCCATGGCCTTTGTTCCACAGATATCATACTGGAGGTTGCACTGTCAGATCAGACCTCATCCAGTATGGGCATGACAGCACATTTCTGACAAAACATCCATAGAAGATTATCTACAAGTTTAAGATAGCTTTATACCAATGTCTGGAAAACAGACAGTATCTGATATTCCCTGATATTCAGAGCAGCACAGAAAAGTGATGCCTGAACTACAACAGAACACACAGTTAGGAAGTTAACTTATTTTTAATGACTTCTTATGTGGCAAACCAAAAGTTCTCTCGTTTATTGCTTTGAATTACTTGGCTGCTACATTTTCTGATCCAGATTTAGGATCCCTAAAGTCAGATATATTTTAACATAAAACCACTACCCGAGTTTGTCAAAGGATGATTTAAAATAGAATGTTTGAATACCTTAGGGCAACAAACCAAATACAAACGATGAAAAAATGCACATTCTAGATTTGAAATGAAGCATCACTGTTTACCAGAAGGAAAAGGGAGCAGCTACTGGCACGGTGACCATGCATTATATACGCACTTAGATATATTATTAATTTTATACACAACAGCCTTTCCCAACTCAAATGACGCTGGTACCAGTCCGCCGTCTCAGGAACTGCAGTAACATCTACAGGATCTCGAGCTAATGCTTAGGGAATACATATGTATGTAAAGCCATGCCCCACCAGAAAAGGCACCATTTCTTTCTCCCAATTGTTACCTTTCCTCCTCCTGTCTCTGAATTCTTTCCTGGTCTTCACGCTCTCGTTGCTCCCGTGCTAGACGTCGTTTCTCTGCCAAGATTTTTGCAGCTTCTTCAGCTGTGGTGGTCCCTGCTATAGTTTTGCTACCTGATTCTGCAAAGTTTAAAAGAAACTGCTGTTAAAAAAAGCTCCAGCAATTTAAAATTTAAATGTGACACGACATCTTTCTTTTGGTCAAATGACCCATCATCTTCCAGATCAGTACTGATCCCTCAGCAAGTGCACCCTGTATGCAAAGGCCCACAGGAGCAAAGGTGCAGCCCGGCAGAGATGAACACAAAGCCACCGCATCCCACTTTTCAGGCAATACAATTAAAGATGTTCTAAAATCACCATAACACATATTTCTAAGAAGACACTTTTACTCTAGAACACTTAAAAGGAATTAACATTGGAAAAAAAAGCTTCAGAAAATACTTTTTTTTTTTCCTTCTAATAAAAGTGAGCAAACACCCAGGAGCACAAAGAGAAAATAGGCTGGTTAAAATTTCTCCTCTAGTTTCACAACATTAACACCATGGCTTTTATATTTACAGGAAATCTTAGGGTGCCAATAATCACCATTTTGTCTGGCTGTGAAAGAACATTCTAATAAATTCAGCAATATCACATTTCCACATCAAACCCTTGATTTTTACAAGCTATTCCCACTCCCTGGAAGTGTAACTTGCTTAATGTGACTGGAGAACTGAGCACCTGAATATTCAGAGAATATATTAGAGAACTAGCTCTTGATACCAGCAGAGCAATAACACAAGAATGCTGGTGGGGACCTGCTTTCTTCTTTGTAATATTTCACAAATTGGCACATACCTCTTTGCATAGCATCTGTAAAGCCTTCAGGCAAGGTAATTTCACTGAACAATGACACCAGGGTTTGATCCACTGTTTAGCTTCTGACCTAAGGACGGTCACTCAGCACCCAGCGTTGTCCTTAGGTACCTTGATGTTGAACAGCAGACCCAGAACGGCTCCGTGCAGCCCAGGCCGCGGCGCCGCTGCCTGCAGCCCGTCCTGCAGCCCTGCACTAAGGGCTACGCTCACCCCGCGCTGGAACAGCGGCACTGCTCCACCACGAACGCTCCCACCGGGCCAAAAACACAGTCACGTTGCTACAAACAAAAATCCAGCCACTTCAAATTGCACTCGGTCACAACTAATCCTCCCTCTCCTCCCTGTGCAGGGAAATCCAGCCCTTTGCAGCTATGAGAACCCTAGCAGACCCTGCACAAGACTTGAGACTTGTGAAGAGGCAAAAACGTCCTCCTTTTCTTTCAAAAAGCTGTAATTTTTCCCAAGGCTTTAAAAAAATATTCCATGTTATCTGCTGTGCAAGAAGACAGTGCCAGTTCCTTCCTGGACTGTTATTTTTCACTCTGACCATAAAAACACAAGCAGGCTTGCATACAGTCATCTCTCTGACGGTGAGAAGGTTCTAACTCATTTTAATGCAAGTCATATATGCACACTTACCTATTCCAAAGCCTTCTCTAGCTAGATACAAAAATAAAAAAAATGAGGCTCCAAGATAGATCTATGTTTATTACCTATCATCATGCATAAGGTGAGAGCTCATGAAGGAGCATTTCCTATGTTTTAAGTCGAAACAAGCCTTTTAACTCTCAGAGAAGCCACGAAAGGCTGCTGCCACAAATGACAACTGCTCCAAGCCACTGAAAAATACAAAATGTTTTACTGCAGAATGGCATATTTTTGTACAAAAACACACAAAAAACAAGACAAAGAGACTTGATTGCTGTCTGGCAGCAACTGGCAATCAAGTTGTTTGAGGAAAAAGAGATGATATGAAGATCTAAGTACACAAAGCTCCATACACTGAGCCTGCAAGACCTAACACCAATTTGCCATTTGCTGCCGTGCTTTGCTTTCAAGATATGGTACTGCACCAGCTCACAAGGTGAAATGCCTGCAGATGTCCATCATTATTTCCTGCTCGTTGTGTGCCTTGAAAAATACATTAAAGCTTTTAAGAACAAAAGTTTTGCTCTACATTCACATGTGAAACACTCAGCAATATTCCATTGTATTAAAATGCTCAGAGAGTTAAACCAAATCATCTCGAGGTTCAACAACAAGGCCACTATTTCTTTACCCTGTATATGCCAAAAGAAAAAGAGCTTCACCCAGCACCATTACAAACCACAGAGACAAACAGCTCAGATTCCAGCAACAGAATAAAAAGGAAACAGATAAATTGGATTAATACAGTCCAGAAGTCAGTGTGGAGAAGAGCCAGGCAAGGCACCCAAGGAACACGGACATCTGTTCTAAAACAAGTGGAAGATACGGGAATAGGATAGATTGTTATGGCAGCTTTCACCAAGTGATGACACTGACTGTGACTGTGCCCTCCGAGGCATGCAAGACATTTATTGCAGTAATGTACACAGGGAGAGAAGGACATTGGACTGCAGAGAAGAATGAGGACTGAAGATGGGTATGTGAGCTCACAGAAACACTGGCACGTGACTACACAGGTAGGTTGCCTTCCAGAGGAACACACGTTCCAGGAGCCGCACCACAAAGGGGCTCTTAGACAGACCAAAAGTGCTTCACAACAGACCAAAAGTGCTTCACAACAGACCAAAAGTGCCTCACAACAGACCAAAAGTGCCTCACAACAGACCAAAAGTGCCTCACAACAGACCAAAAGTGCTTCACAACAGACCAAAAGTGCTTCACAACAGACCAAAAGTGCTTCACAACAGACCAAAAGTGCTTCACAACAGACCAAAAGTGCTTCACAACAGACCAAAAGTGCTTCACAACAGACCAAAAGTGCTTCACAACAGACCAAAAGTGCTTCAATCCAACAGTGAGCAGTGTCTCGGGAGAGCCACAGCAGCCACACACGGCTGCACCAGCTGGGGAATGCACAAAAGGAACTGCACGTGCAGCAACACGCAGCGAGCACATGTTCGACCTACCTGCCCTCAGGACTGCCTGCAGTTTAAACTCCAGAGATCTCTCTTTCCTGCTAAGTTTCCCCTATATCTTCTCCACAGAGAAGTGCCTGCAAGGCCTCCCCAGAGGCCTCTCCCAGATGCTGTTCTGGAGGAGGCAGAGCGCGTTCCTCCAGCATGAGGGATGGGCACTGTGTTTACCTGGCTCCATGGAAAGGACCAGGAAACCAAGTGCTTCTCTGCTGCAGGGCTCCCCACACCCCACCACGGCCAGGCCTCGGCACGACCCGCGCACCGACCACCTCCTGAGGCAGCAAACATCACACACTACCTGCAATGGAGACCCACGCAGACTGCTGGCTTCCTGAAAACTGGCTTTTAAGCTGTGTTGTATTATAGCTGACCTTTTCCTCCAAGCAAGTCTGTATAAAATTTTAAGAACTACCAACTGGAACAAAACTCTGTATATTTATTGGCTTTGCAAACCTGAGCTAGGACTCTCAGCTAGGATATCTAAAAGTCCAAAAGGAAAACAGGAAACTTCAGCAGTCCAAAAGGCAAAGAGGACTTCTACTTTCTTAAGCTACAGTGTAACTGTGCTAAAAAGCTAACTAACTAAAAGCTACTGACATAAATCTTGGATCTCCAAATGGAATAAACTCACTACTAACCTTCTCTCACTCATTTCATTAAGAAATCAGCAACAAACAGCTTCTACCTTCAAACACCCTAAACTCTACTGGTCTGACTTCACCAGTCCTAGCATACACTGGAGAAGTCTTGGGTAGATCAGTCACTGAGAAACACTCACCTTCTTTGGTCTTTGCGGCAGGAGCTACTGCATCCTTGTCTGAGGCTGGTGAAGCACCTTGCTCTTGCCCTGCTCCTTCTGCGCTCTTATCCTTTGGTTTGTTCTCTGCTTCAGTTTTCTTTTTGGTAAAGTTTATTACACCTGGCGTGAGAGGTGGGCGCTGGATGGGCGCTGGCTTGGAGACTGGAGTGGGAGATGGTGGCCTCTGCTTTGATATGCTAGGTGAAAGCGGGCGAGTCTTCTGATTTTGTCTGCTGAAATAAAGAATATTCTTCAGGGATAACACTGAAAATCTCAAACAACAACCTTCAGACAGTGGTCAACTTTGGTCAGTTTGTATTATGTATCTTACTTAAAAATAAGGCCACAAATGTGCAAATTCCTTCCTCACAGCACAGGACTTCAAAATACTCTGGGCACCTGGACTAAGTCCTTGGGGGCTAACTTTAAAACCGGTCTGCTAGCACAGACCTCCCTTTATTCCACATCAAGAACAAACAGTTTGGTTCCAACCCAAGTAGCTTCCTAAACTGATGCATTTTGATTGACTTAAGTGAAATCTTGCACAATCCTACTTCAATGTACAGACCATATGAAAATAACAGGATATATTTTGTCTGCACCGAAGAGATGAAGGCCCAAGAGCTGTGTCCCTAGTATGGAAGAGAAATTGGACAAAGTGTAGTCCTTACGTACATGAATGCAGCCTTGGGTACATTGGCTGAGTTCTAACAGCACAGTTGTCCGAGACAGAAAGTAACCTTCATTTTAGCTAGATAAGCTAAAAAATACGTAACCACGACGCATACCTAGCTGTGGAAGGCGATGGAGGACGCTTCACCAAATTAGCAGGAGAAGGGGATCTTCTACGGGCAGACACAGATGGTGATGGAGGACGTCTCACCCTAGAACCTGGGGACAGCTTTTCTGCCTCTGACTTCTAAGAAAATCCATTAAAAAAAGACAATCATACTCACTTTCTTGGATACATTAAATACAGAAAACAGGTGAGGTATTAGCACAACAAACACACAACTTCTCTATATGACACATACATTTTCTTTGTGTTCTAAAACACAGACCCAGTAAATATGTTACATAATTGAAAATTCAAGAGTTGTAACTGGGAAGCAACACGTCTTTAAGATATTAGAGATCAAGGATCACATTATTCAAACCCAATTTTAGTACTATTTTTTTTTAAACAACTGCTCTAGGATATCTCAGTAAGAAAACAGAGCAGGACCACACCCTGAGCTGTTCCAAACGCCCAGGTTAATACAAAACTAAATCTCGTGGATTTTCAACAAACCTGTGTTGAATCAGGTGAGCTTGCATCAGATGAGGATACAGTGGACTTCAATCTGTCGATGCTACGGCTGCGCACGGGCACCTTGGGAGTTGGGACTGGGGAATTGATGGAACTGGCTGAAGCTGAACGAGGACAGAGGTAAGATTCTATAAAAGTTAGGAATTTGACAAGACAAAACGAGAACCAAGTGCACAGCATAAGAATAGGAAAAAAGGAAAGGGGAAAAAGAGAGAAAGATTGTGTGTGTTAGAAATCGTACAGAGAAACACCACAGGAAGTGCACATTGCAATGGGTCATGGACACAGACACCACCACCACCACACAATTAGTTCTCTGGAAGCAACAGCACCAAGAATAAAACCACTCTGAAAGCAGCAGTTTGGAGTATATAAAAATAAAATGCTTTTCCAAACAATCTCCAAGTTTGCTTGTCACTTTAGTCAAGCTGCATCTAGTCACCAATACTTCAGAACAGCTTTAATGGCCTAGCAACCTTCATTACAAGTTCTTCATGTTAAAAGGATTCGTTTAACAATGTTCCCCCCACGTTCAGGGGGGAAAATTCCTTCCTTTCGAGGGCTGGTTACAAGGCAGCACTACAACAGGAATCTGAGAATTACTTTACACACTCTTCCTGTGGAATGAGCCTTTATGCAACAATATTTTATTCTATTTTTCCTCCCTGATCCCTTTATTACTAGGTATTTGTGGCTTTTATTCACATTAACAAATCAAAATAGAAGCTGTGTGAGAAAGTGATCATCAGAAAAGAATTAACTGTCAAACTAAAATACCTCTGCTATCTTAAGCATCAGTCTCTCACATATAGTAAGATACTGTAAGAGATTATATTTTCTTAAGATAATCATAGATGGATATATATATTTGTAAAAACCTACTTCTCTAACCAGGTGCTTGGTTTTTGATAGTCTGACAGATAAACTGTGACAGATGCTAGCACTCAATTTCTGCACTCTTATGGAAAATACATTTTATTTTTATACTTACAGCATTTGCTTAAGGAGAACTGCATTGTTTGTGCTAAAGCACAGGTTGCTGTCTACTGAAATGAAGAAAGTACCTCTAAATAAACTGGTACAAATGTAAAAGTTATCTTTAACTCAGCAATAGTGAATAAATCACATGCTGTCAGTAACAGTGAAAAAGACGGTATTTCCCCCACATGACATTAATTAAAATATTTATGGTAAAATAAAAGCAGCACAGAGATAGATGTTGAAAAAGACACAACTACTGACTACAAACCAAAAATGTGAAGGATTGGCTACACAAGGGTAGCAGTGTAGAAATGTTACTGCTACCAAGAAGGACCAAGGTAAGTGGCATAACATAAAAAATAAAGATGAAGGAATATACTTAAGAGCAAATAAGAAAAACTGGGAATGCAGGTTGAAAGGCAAAAGAGGAGGAGAAAGGACTCCACAGTGGTGCCAGACACATATTTACTGGAGCACTGCTGCAGTCACCCATTACCTCTGCTGGGGTTTGCAATGGGATACGCAGTGGAGATCCCTGTGCTGGTACCAACACGAGCTGCTGCAGGCACCTACCAGCTCAGCATGGAGCACTACAACAACGCAGGGGCAGCTCTGCTTCCTCTGCAGGGGGTTGTCTCCCCTCTGCGTCCACACGCAGCCTGGAGGAAGCTGCCTCAGAGCTCCGTGCACTTCTTTAAAGCAGCCCCTTTGCCACGTGCCTGCAGGAGCTTCTCCCCATAAAGAAATCTGGGCCTGGCACTTATTTCTTTTGGCCTCCTTTGAAGTCATATGTTTGGCTTTTTTTTCCCTCCCCATTTCCTACAACTGCTCTCTGACAAATAAACCTCAGATTCATTTGAGGCTATGCTCAAATGCAGATCTCTAAGTCAGTTGAGGAAACAAAACAAAACACCAGCATTCAGCCATCTGCAAAGCAGGCAAACTGATACTGGAGTTTAAAAGTCAGTATTATTCTACAGACTTGGAAAGTAAACATGCAACACAGCATACGAATTGGTTACTGCTGACCAAAGAAAATATTACATAAATAATACACAAGCATATATTAACTGTCCAATCCCCACCGAAGAGCAGCACAGTTAGTGACTAGCACGTGAGCTCCCTGCTTGAAGAGCGACTGAACAGAACTGCAGGCTCTGCTGTGCTCCTGTTACCTGAGGGGTCTTGTCCATCAGCCGACAACGTGGCCGCGCTTTTGCTCCTAGCTAGGGAGGCCTGTGTGGGGGCGAGGAGGCGACTGATTACGCTACTGTCCAGAGGACTGACCGGGGCGCGACGAGCTAAACCATGGGAACAAAGCAAAGAGGAGCCAACGTGAAATCATGTCATGGCAGAGACGAGCAGCAAAAAGCAAAGGAGGTTTGTGAGCGTTGTTGCAAATCATAACATTTTAGGAGAAAAATACTGAGGTCATGGAAAGGGGAAATCCAAACTACTAACACAGAAGAATTAACCTCTGCAATCTCTAATGTTGTGCTGGTTGTCTGTTGGTTGCTGATCGCTTCAGTGGGGAAGGACTGACACACACACAACAGATTTATGCTGAAGTTGGTCAAAATACCAAACATTTTTGACCCAGCTCTGCAGAGCTTTCTTCTCTAGATAGCATGAAAGGCTCTGTAATAAAGAGGCCTCTCATATCAAAGCAGATGGTTATTATCAGGTGTCATCTGAACATACAAATTCACATGGACAGCACCATCATTCTCCCACACAGCAAAGGTTCAGAAGCAGAATGCTGTAGTTTCGAGTGTTCAGAAGAGCTGCTGAAAAGGAAAGTTTCAGAATGGTTAACTCAAAGGGAAAAATGTATTAGAAAGGTTGCTAGACTCCAACTTTAAGAAGCATTACTAGAAAAGAGATACTTGTGATCCAGAGGGGAATACAAAGAATGGAGAATAGACTGAAGTGGGAACAGGTTTCCTCCTTCATTTGCATGCACAAAGTTAAGGCCAGCAGCAGGAACAGAGAAGTGGCTTTTAAACTGAATGATAAAACAGCTTAAAAAGCAAAAGTGTAAGGTTTACCTAAGTGAATAAAACAGTGACATTTTTACTACAGCTATATACAGGTCTATCAACTTTTAAATATACTTCTCTTTAGTTTGAGCAGAGAGACATTTTGCTATCTACTTACAGCACAATTCAATTCAAGGTTCTTCTTTAAGGAATTTTTGTTCAAACAAGGAATTTAATCTTTACCATTTACAATTCTGTCTTTACCACTAGATAACTAATAGTCCTTACAAAGTTTTAGAAACCGGAGAACCAAAGAAAACTAGTGCAAGTTAGCCTACCCGAACTTTACCGTGAATGGCTTTTAAGAGAAATATTTAGCTTTATAAAACAACACCTGTTTTTTCTTCCTTTTTCACTTTTTCTAGTTCAGGAGTGGAAGGGGGTTTACTACTCATTCTATTCAAAGATGTGCTCCTCTTCTTTTCTGTTCCTCCTAGAGACCAAGCGTAAGGGAGATTATTTTTAACAAGATATTTATATATATGATTTTCTGAATTGTTATCCTCATGCTTTTCTTTTGTCAAAAAAATCATCTAAAACTCCTGATCTTTTATTATGAAGTACTAATTTCTCACCAGCTAAACAGTTTAGTTTTCCTCTCTCCTCCCACCCTTCCACTTTACAGAGGAAAAAGCTTGTTTATAGAAACTGAGTTATTGAGTATCTGATACTGGAATGTGCATAACAATATTTATGTCAAAGTGCCTGGACCACAAGCACAGCAGTAAAATCTGCATGAAAACATTTATATCAAAACTGGGACATGGTTTAAAGTCAGCTTCAAATATCCCATTTACAGCCTCCCAATTCTCAAAACAAGCTGGTTTCTAGCACCTTTCTGTTCCACCTGCGACCCTTTGGGTGCTGACTGCTGAGACTGTAGAGGAACCTTGTTATTCAGTCTGTTTAATGAGGCACTTCTCTTTGTGGTACCTGGAAACGAAAGTGCAGGGATTAATTTTATGCAAAATCCTAGAGAGTCCCTTCTCACACCAGCCCCACTTGTCCAAGACACATCTAAGCCAGCACATGGATTTATGAAGCCGTCCGAAGCAGGATACCTGTATCAGGGAAGAATCACTCCCTATATGCACTGTTTCTTATATTCCTTCCTCACATACGTTACTGATCACTGAGACAGGATGCTGCTGCTCTTGACAGACTGTGTTTGACCTCCTGAGGCCATCTTTTTATGTCCTTTTAAATACATGTAGTAATTAAAAAGGTCATTGCTCACATTCTGTACAAGAAAAAGCAATAAGCAAAGTAGTCATCTGAGAACTGCCACAGATCACAGCTGAAGAAATACTCTACTGACCTGAGGACAAGCATATCTCTCATTTCCAAATTCTGTGCCTCTGCTTCCCCAGACATACATGCGGCAAAAGGAATTTGATTAATCCTGCAGTAGTGTTTTCCCTATAGTTTGAATTTAGCCATCATTTACCAAACAGCCAGTTTCTTCTTGAGCACCAGGTCAAGAGCACAGAATCGCTCTAACTGGTGTTGATGATCTACATCAGGCAGCCAGACAACCTCTAAATTCCGACCACTTGATCAGCTGCAGTCCTGTCCAAATATCTTCTCCTTCTGGCCATTCGACATTTTTTTCTCCAATGTGACTAAAGATTCACAAAGGAATTTGAAGGTAGACAGTAAGTTTGGAAGCAATCCCAATTAGTTGATAATCAAAGACTTATTTCTCTGTTAGTGGCTTAATTTGTTCTTTATAGCCCTGTCTCTGGCTCATACCCTGCAGCTCAGCCCTGCAGACACATTATATATAAAAATCATGCAAGATCACAGGAAGTCTCCAGTGAGTCAGAGAGCCTGGCCCCGCAGCTACGGCAGTATGGATACACGCTCCCTGAACACCCTACCAGACACACCGGGCACGAGTCCGCGATATTTACAGGGCAGCAAACGTGATCAGAGGTTGCAGACTGACACGACACTGCAGCAGAGCCCTGGCTGAACTCGTTTCAAATAGAACAGCTCTTAGTTTATCAGTGCTTTTCATCCTTGGGGTAAAAACAAAACCCAAACCCTTCTGGGATATGGGCAAGCTCCTAAAACACTGGAGAAATTTTGCCACAGGGAAATCCTAGGATAAAATTAAAGTGATGTATGATAATTTAAATCATTTCAAGTTTCTTAACAAGTAGATTAGTGCAATTCCTTGTTTCTGTAATTTTTTGGATTTAGAAACGGCATATCGCCAGGATTTACAGAATAACTTGGATGTAGCATCCTACAAGCTTTGTTTCACATTTCCTCTCTTTAGGAAGAGAAGCTGTGTACAAATGGGGGACAGGGAGAGCAGAGGAGAAAGAGTGGACAAGCACATGGATAGATTTACCAGGGAGAGGGAAGGGCAGAGATTCTCCCCATCTCTCTAGATCTTTGTTGGAACTATTTGGGTGGTGCACATTAAAAATGACACAATGCAGTCAGGAGCATCCTGAGTTCATCCACCCTGAAGCTGTAATTCAAAACAAGACTGGAAGCCACAAAATATTGACAGAGAAATTTTGGCTTGAAAACACTATCAGAAGCCCATTAAAAAAAAGGTCAAAAGGAATAGCTGGATTCAAGGCTATTTCTATTCCTTGACATCCACTGGCAGAGTAAAATACACCTCAGAATGTCTGGAAGCAGCAGCATGTACTAACAGCTTAAGAAATGCTGATTTGCCCATCAGTGTCAAGTTCTTACAATACACAACCCTAGGAAATTACCCCAGAGCAGCACTCTATGGCTATAATCACGCTGTGATTCCAGCTCAAGGCAAAACAATCTCCACACACCCAATGTTAGAGATTTTCATGCATTCTTTTGTGGCTGAATTCTAACATTAGAGAGGAGGTGTGTGTCTACAGAGTACAGGACCTGCCTAATGGAAAGATGTCGCAACTAAGCTGATTTCCCTCCACCAAGACAATCAAAGATTTGAAATTCTACAACAGAATAAGTCAATTTTGAATATTTTGGACTATTTTTAGCTTGCTGGAATTTTAGGGTGTGATTTAAGGCATGCAACCCCCTGAGGTTTATGTGAAATGATTTTGAATCAATCAGTCAGTAAGATTTGGCTTTAGCAAAAAAACTACAGAAATAAAAAGAAGAAAAAAAAGAACGACAATCATTACCGTTACTCTTCTCCTCTAACAGAGATCACATCAACTGGGTCAAAGCCCTGAACAGTCAAGCTGGATTAACAAATTGCATGAAATGCATTTGAGATCAACATATGAAGTGAAAGATACAGCTAGGGAGGAAGAGGAGCATCCTTCCTCCTCCCCAAACAACAGGTTGAGCAGTTCACCTGCTACCAGCAAACACACAAGCACTTACTTCGATCAGAAGTGTTCAGAAGTGCTGCAGACGATGACAAACGTTTGCTCACAGCAGCTTCTGCCTGTTTGAGGTTTGCTGTGGACGTGGACCGCTTGCTGGCTGCGTGAAGAAGCGCCTGCTTTAGAACTCACCTTCGTACCCGAGGAAGCATCTTCCACACATCCCGCTGAGACAGCTTGGAAAGGATTTACATCCTGAAAGCTACTTCCAGTTTGGCTTAATGAGAATACAGATTTGTTTTTCTTTTGAACTCACTTGACCCAATCAGAACAAGTTATAAACTGCACAGAAATGGCATGCTAATTTTACTGGACTTAAGTCCAGTTTACCTCAAGCCAGATGAAGATTTGCTTTTTAATTTCAGAAACGGTCTTTCAGGATGTATGCTATTCCAAAGTGGGAAAGCCTTGGAAAAGCATGTATCTGTTACTATGGAAACTCAACAAGCAGAGAAGGGCAGTGCACACAAAGCAGTGGAGACTAGCACAATAAACAAAAGAAACTATATATCAAACACAAGTAATTGATTTTGTTGGCATACTGGACAGCAAAGGTGATTAATGTGAACTCGTTAGTGCATAAGTCATGCCAAAGGAAGAGGCAGCATTACTCACCACGGAGGCAGCTGCTTTTCCTTTGGCTGGCATGCCGGAGCGGCTCTTTGTGGAAGCAGCCAGGACACACGGATCCATAGGGACAGGCCTGCCCTCGCACCCTGCTTTTGATGCACATTCCCAGCCCCTGCACCACCAGGGGACACGGGCTCCCTCAAAACAGCAAAGCCACGGGACGTGGGACCGGATTGTGGGGCTGAGGCCAAGGAAGCGGGAGGCTCTTGGTGTGGTGAAGGAGGAGAACGGCCCCCACGGGGGAAGAACGGGGCCCCTGTTGGAGCTGCCTAAGACATGGAGAGCTGAATTTGCAGGTATTTTTCAAAGGTAAGGGAAAAAAAAAAAAAGGATGTTTTGTGAATGAAGACAACGAGCCGAAACATCAAGAAACTGGTAAGTCTTGGATCTGGTGTTTTCAAAGGGCAATTCTACCCTCTAGTGGCTGCTCTTAGCAGAAAGCTTCCCTGCTGCAGCAACACCAGCTGCGCAGAAATCCAACATCACGGAGGTATCTTAAAACAAAATTCTCTTTTTTCAAATTAGGATTTTGACATTTCTATGAAATCTGAAACTTGGTCTACCACTTGCTGAGATCCAAAGGACAAAAACTTAAATCTTGCCTTGAGAAAGATTACAGTAAGCAAAGCATTTTTTAGTAAACTTAAAAGTTCTTGAGGTGGGCTGTGTTATTTAGTCAAAAGACTACAAGTTACAAAACTTCCATTGGAAGACTCAGAAGATGTTAGTAGACTCAAGAAAAAAAAACTGAAAAGACCGATCAGAGAGAAAAAGGAATACCAGTGTCTATTTTTAATGGGGGAACAGGGCAAGGTGGCAAGAGCACAGGCTAAAATTGATGCCTTTGACTGAAAAATATAATTTATACTATGTGTTACCATTCCAGAAGAAAGTATATTCATGTAGCTATTTGAACTTTTTCCAGAAAATTTTAGTTTGCATTAATTGCCTAGAGAATTTACAAAGCCAAAGCCTTCTGATCAAAGTATCTGTAAATGTAAGACGGCCTCAACTTTTTCCCTATTCCAGTCATGAAAAAGCTTCTGCAAACTTGAAAGTTTTGGACAATTCATGAGGAAAAATGCTTCAGAAAACAGGCTATTCCTGAAGAAGTTAGTTTGGTTACGAAGGTAACAGACTCTTCTGGATTGTGGGGGGAAGTTAAATTTAGATTACTTCTGTGCAAAGAAACTGCACTGGAGGAAGCACATAGCATAACCCCTATGGTAGCAAATAATTGTTTGTTTGTTTTTAATAAAGAGAACACA